GGGACTCTACGAACCGATTGACCAATATCAAGAAAATGTCTACGGTAATCTTCCATATATTGCGCCAGAAATATTACATAGCAATCATTATTCTGAAAAATCGGATATTTACAGTTTAGGAATTATTATGTGGGTGGTATCTTCAGGGGAATTACCTTTCATAGGTCGAGGTCATGATGTTAAACTTGCGTTTGATATAGTAAATGGATTAAGACCAGAAATATCTGAAGACATTCCACAGGAATATATAAATCTAATGAGACAATGTTGGGATGCTATACCTGAAAATCGACCTGATGCTTTGGAAATTAGTAAAGAAATATCTAAATTTGTTAAAAATTTTTATGAAAGTCGAAGTAATGAAACTTATAAAGATATGGAAGTTCAGCTTGCCGAAACTTCAAAATTATCTACCAGTACATCCTCTCAGGAAGATACAGAATTAAGGACAAACCCACATTTGAGTCAGTTATATTGCTTTAAAACCTTACCACAACCAAAAAACGTCACAGAAGGTAAAAAATTTCTCTTATTAGTTATTTATATATATGCTCAATACGTTAATATACATTTGATTATTATTTTTTTCTTATTCAACAGACAAAATAAGGAATAAAATAATTCCTACTGGTAAGAAATTTGTTGGACATTTTTTCCGATATATTACTAAAGAGTCACGGTAATAAACTGACTAAAATATTATATTTAGAATCAAATGGTAAACGAAGCCAACGCAATACGAAGACTAAATTCAAAATCATGCAGTCGTTACTGAAAATAAAGGTAATTAATTAATTATTATTCGCTAAATTATTATTTAGATTTTAAATTTTGTTTTTATATTTATTTTAGGTGAAATATTCGAGGAAATTGAAGTTTAAAAACAAGAAATAATTTTTAAATTAATTTAAAAACATTCAAATAACCTTTTAATACCTACATAATTTATATACAAAATAAACTCGATAAACCGAAAAAGTTTTATGATTAATAAATTTTCTGTTTATTCAACTCTTATTATATATCAGATAGATATATATATTTTTTAAACTGAAGTTATTATAGCTTTATATATGTCAGCTTATCAAAACTTCGGTTTATCGAGTCTGCCTTGTAATACTATATTTTCTTTATATTTTTTTTTTATATCGAACTATATCAAACTATATTTTAATAGAAGTATCATTCATTATAGTGAGTTTCGACTGTATATATATATATATTCCACAATCAATAATTTATAAATAATCTACCAATCGTGCAAATTGATATTTTTAAATATGCATATTTGGTATTAAAAAAAAACGACAATGGTGCCCTTTGGCTTTAAACTCTATATTCATATTTATATATATATATATATATTGGATAAAATTTATATTGTAATTGCTCAAAATTATTTATTATAATATTTATCTATATAAATTATTATTAAATTATATTAACTTATTTCAAACAT